CGAACGTGCGAGAGAGTTTGGCCTTGACTTTTATTGATTGCCATGGCAAATGATATAAACACCGGATACTATCGTCTTTGAAATTTAACTGGCAATGTGGAATTCGAAGGTATCAAAGTCATCCGAGCAATAAATACCATGTCGCCAACATTCTTACCGGACAATACCTTGCAACAAATTACATGCATGCCCAATCATTCAACTTGGAGACGAGTTCCATTACACAAACCTCTCGCTTGATCGATATTCCTAATGAGCATGATAGGAACACCCTTCTTTAATTTTAGCTCATGTGGGGATGACCGGAGCACGATATTGTATTGAGAAACTCGGTGGATCATGTATTTTTATACCAACTTATACAGTTTCTTGTCGCAAGTCTTATCGGGTATTTCGGCACATATTATTCGATCAATATCCTCCGAACATTTGAGCTTATCGTCGTTATGAAACCAAAGAAGGACGTGCGCATGCGCCATACCACGTTTTTGGAACTCAATGGTGCAGACGTCTACAATTTGAAATTAAATAATAAATTAAAAATGTTATAGTTTGATAGCAATAATTAGATATTTTTTAAAATAAAATAATTTTATACATTCATGTCACATGAAGTTTTAGATAATGATTTGAGAATTTGGTACTTATATGATCTAATCCGTTCAAAAATATGCCCTTGTTTGAAATCTGAGATCGGACTGTCAATTTTCATCTTGAACACTCGACAAAGAATATCAGGTCGATCTTCGGGCGTAGATTCGTATCTCTCAACACCCTTTGTATTTCTGCCCACTTCGGGCTGCATGTTATGTTATAAAAAGTGATGGAAATCCCATCGAGTTGTATATATGGAGGGCGTCCATGAAGTTGTTAAACATATACCTGGGACCGTTTGTAAAAGTCGATGGAAGAACTATGCGCATTCCAGTAGACGTGCCTTCACCATCACCATTGACAATCATTTCCTGAAGTCCCTTATACATGTCAACCCTAAGCTTTTCCTGATGAAATCTAATGAAATAAACTACCCAACAAATGGTAATTTTGACTGTGTAGAAGAAAAGTGTACGAACCAGAACTGTTGTTTACGTTGTCTGTATTTTGCCACCAAGAGAGGTAAAAGAGAACATTTCTCTCATATTATACGATCTTATATTATCTTGGAAGTTCCTACTGCGTCTATCCCTACCGAATAAGAGACTAGACGGTATATTTGGAGGATCCTTTAATTTGGGTAACTAGACTTTATCGTTCATACAACAAAGTGAAAAATTTTGGCGATTCTGTTTCACAGTGTCTGGCAAGTCTCTCGCTGTACCACATCATCGAACCGCATGATTGATAACGCAGTTTTGTTCACCAAGGTCGTCGTAATCTATGAATATTTATCAACGTATAAAAAAAAGACCAAAATTTGTAAGCGAAACGACTGATGCATAAATACTATTTGAATTAATAAAAAAACACTGTCTATCGTCATAATCAGCAGAATCATCGCTATTGTCATCATTTGAAACATATTCAGAATCTACAAAAACAAACACATTAAAACAAAGGCAATTTTAATTTCCATATAGACGTCCTATTAAACAATGGTTGATGGTTACTATTCGACAAATGAATACTAATATTTACCTCCATTATCTGAACTAATATCTTCTATTGTACTTAAATCCTCGTCAATCAACATATTTGGTGCAAATTCCAACACCAAACCACGAGCCACAGACTTTATGATTTTCTGACTCTTTGATACCCTCTTTCCAATGCGTACGGAATTACTAAAATTATGATAATATGAAAAAAAAAAAAATTAATGTAATGATTGTTTGATGAAAAAAATATGACAGTAACTTCTAAAAAAATCTTGCAATATAAAAAAAATTAAATGTAAAGACACGTTTTTTAAATTTGAATTTCGAATTCAAAACTAAACTAAATCAAGCAAAGATCACATGCAAGAATTTTGCAATATTGAAGAATATTTATTGTTGATTAGATATTTTCCATAAATTAGTCATGGAAATTAAAATCAATCACCTTAAATATGTAAGAAATGAAATTATATAACATAAAATCGGGAAATTGATTGACAATATATGATAAATACAAATTTGAAACTCAATATAAAAATTGAAATTCGAAAAATTTAAATTTCAGATTAAAATAATCGATTTTAATTTGAAATATGAAAATTAAAAAAAATCAAAATATAATAATGTATTGATATAATCGTCGTTTTAATACAATAATTTATTAGTAAAAAAATACAAATTTTATTAATTAATCCAATATAATTGATTGAAATTGTAATAGAAATAAACAATTTCAAATATTAACAAAAATTATTGTATATTTATTAAACAGTACAATGTAAAAATAAAACACTTTTTTAATAATTTTTTTATTTAATTGATATTCGAATATTCTAAAATATTTAAAATTAAAAAAAAAACTGTATTTCTTTATTTTAATAATTGAATATTAAAAAAATGTTTTTTTTCTGAAAAAAAAATTTGAATGTTTGTAAAAATATTAAATATCCTGAATCTTTTTTAAGAAATAGTCAATAAATATATTTTGGAATAATGAAACTATAAATAAGATAATATTTTTTGAATTTATAGAATATCAAATTTGTAAATAATATATATACATGTGGTAAATATTTAAATGAATGTACAAATGTTAAATAGAAAAGAACTTAAATACATACCAAATTAAAAATGACAATTACAATTGAGGAATACAACTTATCAATTGAACTCCAACTTAAGGAATTTAGAGGTATGAGATGGACATTTGCTACATGTCATTCATATAAGGCATAGATTCTTTTTTTTTTTTTTTTTTTTTTATTTTTTTTTTATTTTTTATATTATATATAGATATGTTGTAATTTAAGACTATAGTTTATAGTTCATAGTTTCTTCCTAAAATTTGGATATTATATAGGAACAATCCTAAAAACAAAAATTCAGGCCCGCTGCCCCAAACCTGGTTAATTTTTAGCAATGTTGTCAGAACCGAATCGTACATAAAATCGGCTAGGCATTCGGGTCACGGTTGGACTGGTTCAACCGGGTTCAACCCGGGTTTTTTATTATTTTTATTTTATAATTATTTGTAAATTTTAGTGCTTTAAAATTACTATTTTTTTCTATTTATTTATATATTTCACACCACTTCTTCACTAAAAATACATTTTTTCTCTATTTATTTATATATTTCAATCAACTTTTCTATTTTACTATACACTTTTTTCTTATTTAATTAAAACTTGTCCTTTTTTATCGGCTTAATTCCACTTTGCACCCTTGAAATATACCATTTTGGTATTTTGCACCCTCGAAACAAATTAATAGCAATTTGCACCCTTAAAATACAATAAATTATGCATAATGCACCCCAAATAATTTTTTAAAGCTAAAAAAATTTAATTTAATATTTTTAGTAATATTTCTTTTCGGATGCCAAATGTCAAATTTTTTTTATTCATCAATCATTTTGAAACTATATCAAAATTAAAAATATATTTCATCAACATATTTAAAAAAAATATTTTTTTTATCAAAATAAAATATTTGTGAAAAAAAATCATTCATCTATTCCGTTATCAAGTTACTTGAAAATCATATTTTCTTCCAAATATTTTCACCTACTATTTTCAAACAGGTACATAAAAGATCCAAATCGAATAATTTGGTGATAAAAGGTAATTGTTTTTTTTAAGAAAATGTAGGTTTTTTAAATAATCCGGTGTAATTTTTATTTTTTCGCTCTTTGTCCGCTCGAAATTAAGTTGGAGGTTCAAGAAAATAACACTTTGGCTGTGTTTGGTAAGCTTTTGAGCTTCCATTTCCATTTTATTTTGGAGAAAGATGTTTTGGGAGAAGAATTTGAAAATTAATATAAGTTTGTTTGTGTTTTGAGAGGAGATAATTTGTACTGTAGCAAGTCAAATCATGTCTGAAAGGTGTTGGGAAAAGGTATTTTGAAAGAAGAATTTAAAAGATAAAGTGATTTGATTTTGTATTTTAGTGAAGACAATTTTCACTGTAGCGGTCAAATCATGTTTGTTAGAGAGAGAAATATTTGAATTTGTTTTGGGGAAAGTTTTTGAAAATAGTGTAGAAAGATAATTTTCATTTTGGGGAAAGCGTGAAAAGAATTTGAAAACGGTAACAAACATAGCCTTTATTTTTTTTATTTTGCACCCTGAAAAAAAAACACCAATGAAAAATAAAATTGCCTTTATTATTCAATTCATGGTGCATTGTGAATGATTTATTATGTTTTAAGGGTAAAAAGTGCTATTATTATTTTTTGAGGGTGCAAAATATCAAAATGGTATACTTCAAGGGTGTAAAGTAAAATTAAGCCTTTTTTATCTCTTTTTGTTCCTCTCCCTGCTTTCTTCCCTTCCCAATATCCTTCTCTACACTTCTCACCATTTCCGGCGATATAGTGACTAGATCCGATTTTGGTCGACGTTTATCGGTTTTCACCCCAAGATCCGGCCTTAACAGTCCAGATCCGACCATCCAACCTCGAAAAGCACCAGTTCAGACAAAAACCGGGGTCTTCCACCAGTTTCCGGTTTTTCCGATCGAACCGGCGGTTTTACTCTCTGACCCCTGTTTTTGATTTCTCCGGTTTCCAGCGTTGAACCAGACCGCCAAGATGCCGGGTCGCGGTCGAACCGGCCGGTCCGGTTCTGTTCTAATAACCATGATTTTTAGTCCACCCTCGTATAAGAAGGAAGAGATGAAAAGAAAATAGAAGAATTGACGTGGCAGGCTGTGCTCCCACAAATTCTGGATTCCCGTGGCAGTCTCAGGAAACATGAAAATCTTCATACCTTTTGTATTTGGATAATAATAATAATAATAATATTATTATTATTATGTGGATAAGATTTGTACCAACAAATGAAATGCTGCTATTAATTAGGCTGTATATATATTTCTCCACAAGACAAATTAAAGCCGTCTAATTAATTACGTGCAGTGTAGATTCCAAGTACTCCTTCCATGCAAATTCTCTCCTCTCTTCCATCTCCGGGTGTTATGTGTATGTGCCTCTCTCTCTCTCTCTCTCTCTCTCTCTCTCTCTCTCTCTCTGCCATTCTCTTGGTTTTATTTATTACAGCATTTATTTATGTTTACTATCAACTAATTAATTAGTAGTTCCATTTTATCCATTATCATTAGCCTTGCGGATTTGAGTGTCTGCTAAGTACAACAACTTATTTGTCATTCTTACTTTCTTCGATGAATTTAATTTAGAATTAAAAATATTATTTGGTGAGTGATGGTTGGTGGATATCTAATAAAATGAAAAACTTTATCTAATTAATTTATTGAGATGTGGCTCATGATGTAATGATGATGAATTGGAGATCCATCTGGGACATGAATATGTAGAGAGTAGAGACATTCATTCAAGAATCAGTTAACAACGTATGTATGGGACAATGATTCGTTTGTCTCAACCGATTCTTATATATTTTCATTCCTTACCAACTTTAATTATATCATCATGGCCGATAACATAAATAAATGACAAATTCATTGAAGATCGAAAAATGATTAAATTAATTGTTGATCTGTAGTAACTAACTAACTCAGCTTGTTTTTTTGTTGGAATTAGCATTTTGTCCAGAGAATGGGTCCTAATTGCATCTGAGATAAGCCAACCATGGAACTATTTGTAAATACTACCTTTTCCCAAGCTTATTATCTCTGCCCTTGCCCTTGCCCTTGCCATGTCTGACAAAACAAATAACGCAGAGGTAAGTTTGACTGTCCTTCCTGCGTTCAAATAGAAATTAAATTTTCTGTTTCTTTCTAGTATCTGATCCAGCTGTATGTGTTATTTGTTCAGGAGCCACTCATACAAGAGCAGAAAATAGCGTCATTAAATTCGCGTAATGAATTTCCGTGCTCCATATGCTCGAGCAATAACAGCTGTCAAACAGTTCGTTCAAGAACCAAGTTAATGAATACTCTGATACAAAGGGGAAAACCTCGCGAAGCACATTTCATTTTCAAAGCCTTAAACGAACAAGGGCACAAGCCCACTCTTGTAACATACACTACACTTTTGGCTGCTCTCACGCTCGACAAACGTTTCAAGTCCATTTCTTCTCTCCTTTCTAAGGTCGAAAAAGATGGACTTAAACCCGACTCAATATTCTTCAATGCAATCATCAATGCCTTCTCTGAGTCAGGTAATATGAAAGAGGCCATGAAAACATATACAAGAATGAGAGAGAGTGGTTGTAAACCGACAACTAGCACATTTAACACTTTAATTAAAGGATTTGGAATCATAGGTAAGCCTGAAGAATCTATGACACTATTAGATGAAATGTTGAAAGAAGAAGTGAAGCCGAATGACAGGACGTATAATATTCTTGTTCGAGGTTGGTGTAATAAGGGTGATATTGAACAAGCGTGGAGTTTAGTGTATAGAATGATTTCGGAAGGAGTTAAACCCGATGCTGTGACGTACAACACTATTGCAAAGGCTTATGCTCAGAGAGGTGAAACTGTAAAAGCTGAAGCTATGATTTTTCAAATGCAGCACAAGGGAAAGGTGAAACCGAATGAGCGCACTTGTGGTACTATTGTTAACGGTTACTGCAGGGAAGGTAACTTGACTGATGCATTGAGATTTTTGTATCGAATGAAGGATTTTGGAGTTCCTCCAAATCTTGTTGTTTTCAACTCACTTATCAAAGGATTTATCGATAACTCTGACCCCGATGGGGTTGACGAGGTACAGTTTTTTTCTTTTTCTTTTTTTTTCACCTAATTGAGTTTTTTCGCAGCAAAATATGTTATCCTTGAAGAAACATTTTTCATGAATGTTTATAAATAATTCTGTGTTTATTCATCTGCTTACATATTTGTGTTCTTGTCTGCGCTGTTTTACTGGATTACATATACTCAGCAAAAAATAAATGTGTATATTATATAGAGCATATACGCGACGTTAGGTTAATATGAGATCATTTTGTTTGTTTAAGCAAATAATTTCCTGGGTTCTTTTTGCTTGTTTATGTTTTCAAGGGGTCACATGGGTTCGTAATTTTTTTCTACCCAATACATTGCCTTTTTTTCGATGAAATAAACTTGCTTCACTTATTGATTTTGTTGTGCAGGCACTGAGTTTGATGGAAGAATTTGGGGTAAAACCGGACGTAGTAACATTCAGCACCATAATGGATGCATGGAGTTCGGTCGGTCAAATGGAAAAGTGCCAAGAAATATTTGATGACATGGTAAAGGCCGATATTGAACCCGATATCCACACATTCAGCATTCTTGCTAAAGGCTATGTGCGTGCCGGACAGCCCGATAAGGCCGAGAGAGTCTTGAAAATGATGATCAAATCACGAGTTTACCCTAACGTAGTTATATTCACTACAATCATCAGTGGATGGTGTAGTGCTGGCAAAATGGAATATGCTTTTAGGATCTACAAGAACATGTGCGAAATGGACGTACCTCCAAATCTAAAGACTTACGAGACACTTATATGGGGATACGGAGAAGCTAAACAACCGTGGAAAGCACAAGAGCTTCTCCAACTTATGGAGGAGAAAGGTGTTTTTCCTCAGACGAAAACTCTACAGTTAGTTTCTGATGCATGGCGATCTATTGGATTTCTCGGTGAAGCCAATAAAATCATAGATGGCTCAGAAGAAGATAATCAGATTAATGTGGGAAAAATTCATTCTTCTTATTTAAATTATAATCCTACTATGGTGGTAAAGGGAAGCATCAAAAGTCGAATGACGCTGAAAACATTAAAGTTTTCTTGTAAGTTTTGCCTTACTAGTACAGTGGCTAAGTCGATTTTGCTTTCGAACACTATTGGTGGGTTCAAAGCAAAATCTCAGGTAGTGTGGCAGATACAATTTTGATGCCCTGGAAAACAATTATGGGTATAAATTAGTTTTCGATTATGGTTGATGCTTGTTGAACTGAAACGAATTTTGGGTCTATAGATATGTACATCTACCATTGTATATGCCTTCATTTAAGAAGATTGTTGTATGGTACCCTCAACATTTTCATCCATATTTTATAGGGGTTTTGGCACTCCCTACTATATTCTCTAATTGCCGAAAAAAACTAGCTAGGACCGCCTTATGAAAGTTAATTACCCCTGTGAGCTAATTGTGTGTTACACTCGCTATTTATGCGACTGGGGTGCAAGTTTTACACGAAAAGTTCCCAAGTACCTTTTGAATTATTTTTAAAAAAAGGGCAAATAGGCCCATGAGTCCATGACAAGGCCACTTAATTAAAAGAGGGACATCCAATTTTTTTTGTCTTTCAAATAAATTCAGCTCATTCAAACTTATTTGCAAATAAGGAAAATCCTTTTACATATACCGAAATTACCTTCAATTCATTGAAACTCAATTCAACTTCAATTTCATGATTTACACCTCAATTTAGCTCAATTTCATCAATTAACCAATTTTAACCCTAATTTCAATTTTGACGCCAATTTTGACCCGCCACCACCGGCCAGCCGCTGTTGACGTTTTTTTTTTTGAATTTTTTTCCCGGCAGGTCAGAAAAATAAAAGTTTTCAACAAAAAATTATTATTATTATTATTATTATTATTATTATTATTATTATTATTATTATTATTATTATTATTATTATTATTATTATTATTATTATTATTATTATTATTATTATTATTATTATTATTATTATTATTATTATTATTATTATTATTATTATTATTATTATTATTATTATTATTATTATTATTATTATTATTATTATTATTATTATTATTATTATTATTATTATTATTATTATTATTATTATTATTATTATTATTATTATTATTATTATTATTATTATTATTATTATTATTATTATTATTATTATTATTATTATTATTATTATTAATATTGTCGGTCGATGACGTTTTGTACTTATCTCTTTTTATTGATTGCTATTATTGAAAACCGTTAGTGTTATTTTTCCGTGTAAATTCAATCAGCGTAACGATTGATATCTGCATATTGTTTTTACAGTCATGTATTTTAAGTTGAAAATAAACATCCATGTGCATCGCAAGGGTGAATACTAGTTATTTTTATGGTAAAGTTCAACTGAAACGATATTATACTTTAATTATAAATAGTCGATTCGATCAATATATTCTTGTAAATGCTATCTCTCTTTAAAATACTATTAAATCAAGTATTAAAAGAAAAACCACAACATAATATTTTTGTTCTACTCATCATATATACTTTTATTTTAAAGTAGGAAAATTATTTGGACTGAGAGTTATAATATACTTTTGTTAAAATAGACATCATCTATATTTTTGTTATAAATATGTTACTGTCAATAATTGTCCTATAATAAAATAATCAATAACTCAGGTTAATCGGTTCAAATTAATTGACGTGAGTTATAATCTATTTTTGTTTTAAAATAAGCATCTCATTTTTTTATTCGAATTTTCAACACTATCGATTTTAATAACATAAGCGAGTATGTCTTTAGTGATGCATTTGTTTATATATTGAATTGATTCAGATCATTATATTTTTTAATAGTGGAGATTATATTGAATATAGTAATTAATAATAGCTGTTTGGAAGTATTAACCGTGATTCTTTATATTTTTTTTAATTTTTTTATATTACACATTTGTTAATAATTTAATTAACATTATTTAATAAAAATGAATATGAAAATTAATAATTGATTTAACAGTATTTATATAACAATTAACATTTTACACATGTACTTTATATTTAGGATAATTTGCTATAGATCCCTCTATATTTTACACATGTACTTTATGTGTATAGATCAAAGTCAAAATTTCTGTGTTTTATAAATTAAATATAGTTATTGTGGCAAAAATACCCTTAATCAAATCAAGTCAAATTCCTAAAAACTTCTCTATGAAAACAAATTTCCCTAAAACTTTCTCTTCCAAATTTTTAACTAAAAAGAAAAATTAATTCCTTAAAAAAATATACTATTTATCATATAAACTCATACTCTAATAAAACCACCACGATCGCGCCACTGCCTATAACAAACTGAAAATTAGAATTTGCATTATTGAATTGCAAACAACAAACTACTTATGAATTCTCGAAATGCAAATAGCGAACCGAAGAAAAAAATCAACAGAATTCGCATTATTGAATTGCAAATTATAAACGACATATGACTTCGTCAAATGCAAACAACAAACTGAAGAAAAAAAATCAGCATCAATGAAAACATCAACAAAAAATGGCTTATAGAACACATTGGAAATAACAAAAACATTAAACAACGTGTTTGCAAAATATAACTTAAAACATACATTGCAAATTATAAACCAGAGGAACCAAATCTCAACACCAAACGCAATCTTATATATAAAAGAAAGATATTTTGAACTAAAACCCAAAACCTAAACCTAGGGCCAGTTTTATCAATTAATCTTATATGTAAAAGAAAGATATTTTGAATTAAAACCTAAATGTGACACCCCATTTCTAATTACACTTAGTAAATTAGAATATGCTAGCGGAAGACTTTTAAAAAATAATGAGTGAAGAATGCTCGTTTTAAAAATCACCTTCTACAAATAGAAAGTTACGCATAATTTTTTTTTTAATTCAGAGGAAGAGTGTCCACATATTACCATATAATAAACAATTAACCAACTATCACAAAAGAGAAATGCAGTAATTTAAATTATCAAGAGTAAACAGAGGAATTTCGGACACATTAGGTAGATCAACTTCGAAAATTAATTTTCTTTAAACCCTTCGTGAAAAGAATTTGAAAATTTAACCACATACTCTCATATGGGTCTAAATCACTCCGTTAAACAGTTATAATATAATTAGGCATTTGAGAGAAATAATTAAACACGTGCAACTGGACAGTTTGAAAATCCAGAACAGGGGAGGAAGCTTTGAGAATTATTTATAAATCCCCTATTGTTCTAAGTACTACCACATTTTATACCAAAGCATAAAATTGAGTTAGGAACATACTCGAAGTTAAATGGAATCATTTGAGTAAGAAACACTTCACATATTGATGCATGTCCTAACATGACTCTGCATGTTTACAGTTATGGAAAATAATTCATAATAAATTCATGGCTTATTCAAATGATGCACATGACCTACCAAATTGACCATAACAGAAAGAACTATGACTCCATAAAATTGCATGCAATTCTAAAAGGAATTTAATACACATTATCAAACAACAGGGCACAACACAACGTCTAACTAACCGATGAGCATTATATAGAAGTTTTGGAAAAGAGGGAATCATAATCCTAATTAATATTTGATGTAATGTTCTTACTAATAAGAGCCCCCGAGGGGTGGAAGAGTACGATAATAGATATCTAAGACGGTATCGAAAGTCTTTAAAATTAAATTATGTAAGTGAAACCACATGACTAGATTAAGAGCACACAAGGACCAACACGCCTTCCATATGAACACATCCCTCGATCCTCGAACTCGACTCCAACTTTACAACCCGTGCTCGGGATTGAAAGTACCTACAAGCATTTCAACACCTATATGAGTCTTTTGGACTCAATGAGAATTTCCGAAGAGTATCGAGTACACATAGGCAAACAAACACACACACACACACACACACACACACACACACACACATATATATATATATATATATATATATATATATATATATATATATATATATATATATATATATATATTTATGTTATGTATATATGTATATATATTATCTCAAATCACACATATAAACACTATAAACATTTCAATCTTACCTCAATCGTTATTTCATTGAGGAACTTTACCAATTTACCTTTACCTTTTCGGATTTATCTCTTAGACCTTCTCGTTTTACCTCTTAGACCTTATTTTCATCATTTCAAAAGGAATAAGAGTAGATTCCTTACAAGGGAGTCATTCTTTTACACATACATTCATTCAAGTGCTCATACAATGTGTGAGAAAACATTTTTGTTCGGATATCCTTTGAAAAATCAAGTAAAACCATAGACAATTAGCCTTCATTTATTTGAAACCCGTTTCATAAGTGGAATCAAACCATACACTCATCTCATTTTTTGGGTACCGGCCCCTCATACCCCGTGCTTATTCCATCTATGTTTTACAAGATTTTCCAATTTTAAAAAACGTGCAACTGAGGTTAGTACATACTTTTAATTTCACATATTCAAAGTTATCTTACACATAAGCATATTAGTACACATATTTGCACACATTTCACAAAGTCACATAGTTTAGTCACAAAATCACAAAATCAAGTAAGAGACATAACAACTGAAGCAAAGAGCATAGATGACATAGTTTACACATATAACAAAAGTAGCTCAAAGCATTCGGTTATTTATAGTTACTATCTCCAAGTTTCATTAATTAAAGTTCAAACCCTCTTTCTCAAGAGACTTGAAGTTTTCTTTCAAGTAACACCAAATTTCCATTTATTTCATTTTCTTTCTAGATCTTCACATGCAAGATAAGATTAAGAGTAATACTCATTCTTGTAATTACTACATGCATTAGCAATTGAAACATTTTCCTCAAAGTCTTTCCAAAAATATTCGAACCATGCATCAACAATTCAATCACACAAAATTTTATTTTTATTAATTTTGTTCTCGGTTTTTATCTTCGTATATTACTTATTACTCATAGATCATAAACCATGGATTGCAAGCTTCCTCGACCGGAAGGGAGTACACTTACAACCACGTAGGTCGGTATATATACACATAGAAACATATACTTATATATAGCACATATAGATTATAAATAAACTATGGATCGAATACTTTCTTCGACCACGCAAGTTTTCGAAAACCATGGATCGAGGTTTCCTTAAGATCACGTAGGTCTAGTATATATATACATACATCAAAAAATAAATCATCATTTTATTCTTACTTCTTCAAAATTATTTAATATTGGTGTTGGGTGACTAAAGCATAAATTAAAAAAAAATATTATTTTCTTCGTCCTTTAGTTTTCGGTCATCATAAGAACAAACAAGAAGTTAAAGAGAAGATAAATACTATTGGTGTTGAAGCACTTGTGGCAAGAATTCGAAAATTATCACCTTAATCTTCTTAGAAATTTTGAAAGGGTGTTATTTCCTTTCTACAAGGAGAAGAAGAAGAAATTTTAGAGAGAGGGAAGAAGAAGCTTAGCTTCTTGAAATTTTCAAAAATGAAGAAAATAAAGAAGAGGAAGAAGACTTACTCCCTTGGCCAAGAATTTCAATCTTGAAAGAGAGATTTTGAGGCTTTCCTACACTACTAATTTCGAAAATGGAGAAAAAGAGAAAGAGATTTTGATCTTTGATCTTTAGGATGTGTGGAGAATATGACAAAATAGATATGAAGGCTTGCGTTCTATTTATAGAGTTGTGGGGGACTTGCATGCTTAATAATTTAGAATGGGGGAGTGATCTTTTTGCAATTTAGGCAAACTTAGGAATTATCTAGAATGACTTCTTTGCAATTTCATTTAACTATCAAAAAAGAAATTCAAAAAGGAAAATCTTAATGCACATGGTGATATGAACCACGCCAACCATGTGACGAGACCCGATAACAGTAATTCAGTTATCAACTCCTGGACCGTCCAAAAGAAGGAATCAAAAGGGGCTGGAACCGCGACCCGTTATCTATAAAGAGACAAGAACCTTGGTATGTGAAGACGCCACAATCAATTGTGGAAGATTGATTGATAAGTCGAGTGAACGTACGGAATCCTCCGATATGTTCGAAGAGTTCTTAAAAGAACTAGAGAGAATAATCTCACAATTTAATTAATGATCAAAAGCTGTCTTTCATAATGAATAAGAAGGCATGTATATATCCCCCAAAACTTAGTCTTCAAGAAAGGAAAATAAAACCCTAAATCTACTTAATAAAGGCTCTAAACAAGTGAGCCACGAAATTAAAGAAGGCCTTAATAGAATAGGCCCATTAACACACTAATATGAGCTGATTAGAGATGAACCCACGAATTTAAGGTAGGGTGGGCTTTGTTCTTCATCCTGCTTGCTCTTATTTGCTCAACTTGGACTGATCTTTAGCCCGGATGGTTCCCACACTTGTCCGGTGACTCCGCCACTTGAATATGCATAATCCAGCCTTGTTTATCACCATTGAATGAAGCTTTCTTAGTTAAGACATTTTGGATCAATGCGGCAAGCTTCTCCTTGAATTGCTTAGCTCGGCTCATCGTTACTGGTCCAGTTGGGACTTGGATAGGATCATCTTGCCAACTGTTGGTTAGACCTCCATCATTCCCCTCCTCTTGAAAAGGATTTGTCCTCAAATCATCACCTACATCAAAATAACTCAAATCAGCAACATTGAAGGTGGTACTAAAATTATAGTCACCTGGCAAGTCCAGCTTATACGCATTATCATTCACTCGCTCGAGAACTTGAAAAGGACCATCTCATCTTAGCAGCAACTTAGAACGCCTTTGTACTGGAAATCGTTCTTTTCTCATGTGCAGCCAAACCCAATCTCCAGGTTCAAAAACCAACTTGCGACGTCCCTTGTTCGCTTGTTTTGCATATTGTTCTGTTCTTCTTTCCATATTGAGCCTTGTTTTTTCATGAATTTGCTTCACAAGTTCAGCCTTTTTCTTTCCATCCAAGTTAACACGCTCAGATAAAGGTAGTGGAGTTAAATCCATTGGAGTTAAAGGATTAAAACCATAAACAATTTCAAACGGTGAAAACTTAGTAGCAGAATGAACAGCTCGATTATATGCAAACTCAACATGTGGTAAACACTCTTCCCATGTTTTAATGTTTTTCTTGATAATATCCCTTAACAAGGCAGACAAAGTCCTATTTTCTACTTCAGTTTGACCATCGGTTTGTGGGTGACAAGTAGTAGAAAATAATAATTTTGTTCCTAGCTTACACCACAAGGTCTTCCAAAAGTAACTCAAGAACTTAGCATCACGATCAGAAACAATTGTCCTAGGCATGCCATGCAATCTAACAACTTCTTTAAAGAACAAATCAGCAACATGCGACGCATCATCAGTTTTATGGTATGGAATAAAATGTGCCATTTTAGAAAATCTATCAACGACAAAAAAGATCGAATCCCTACCATGTTTTGACCTAGGCAAACCTAACACAAAATCCATAGAAATATCAACCCACGGTTCATTGAGAATAGGCAATGGTGTGTATAAACCATGGGGCTGTACTCAAGACTTAGCTTGACGACATGTAACACACCTACCACAAATTCTCTCAATATCTCTCTTCATGTGTGGCCAATAAAAGTGTTCTTTCAGCATGTGTAATGTCTTTTCGAAACCAAAATGACCCATAAGACCTCCCCATGCGATTCAAGCACAAGTAATTCACGTATAGAACACATAGGAATGCAAAGTTTATCTTCCCTAAACAAGAATCCCTCATGCCTATAGAACTTATCAAATGCACCCTTTTTCACGTGCTTGATAAACAGTACCAAAATCAGCATCTTGAATGTACAACTCCTTAATTTGTTCAAAACCATGTAATTTGACATTAAGAGTAGAGATTAAGGTGTACCTTCGAGACAGTGCATCAGCTACAATGTTCTCTTTACCTTGCTTGTATTTGATGTCATAAGGAAATGTCTCAATGAATTCCATCCATCGGGCATGCATCTTGTTCAGCTTGTGTTGTCCCTTCAAGTGCTTCAACGATTCATGATCCGTGTGAATCACAAACTCCTTAGACCAAAGATAATGCTGCCATGTCTCTAAAGCTCGAACCAAGGCATAGAGCTCCTTATCATAAGTCGGATAGTTTAAGGCTGCCCCACTCAACTTCTCACTAAAATATGCAATCGGTCGTCCCTCTTGCATCAAAACAGCGCCTATGCCTACTCCGGAAACATCGCACTCGATCTCGAATGTTTTCGCGAAATTTGGTAAAGCAAGTAAATGAGCTTTGGTTAACTTCTCCTTAATTAATTGAAAATCTTTCTCTTGCTCGTGCCCCCACTTGAACACCACATTCTTCCTTATCACCTCGGTCATTGGTGCTGCAATAGTGCTAAAATCCTTCACGAACCTCCTATAGAAACCAGCAAGGCCATGAATACTTCGAACATTCGCTACACTCGTCGGACTTGGCCATTCTTGGATAGCTCGAACCTTTTCTTCATCAACATGAATACCTTGTGCACTAACAACAAAACCAAGAAAGACAAGCTTATCCGTGCAAAATGTACATTTCTGCAAATTAGCATACAATTTCTCTTCCCTAAGCGCATGTAAAACGAATTTCAAATGCACAACACGATCATCCAGATTTTTGCTATAGATAAGAATGTCATCAAAGTAAACTACAACAAATTTACCAATGAAAGATCGCAAAACATGGTTCATTAATCGCATGAAAGTACTAGGGGCATTAGTTAACCCAAACGGCATAACTAACCACTCATATAAACCATACTTTGTCTTAAAAGCAGTTTTCCATTCATCACCCTCTCCCATTCTTATTTGATGATACCCACTTTTCAAATCAATTTTTGAAAACACACAAGCACCATGCAAGTCCTCTAACATATCATCTAAGCGTGGAATAGGATGACGATACTTTACCGTTATATTGTTGATTGCTCAACAATCGACACACATTCTCCACTTTCCATCTGCCTTAGGCACCAAAAGTACCGGAACAGCACACAGACTCATGCTCTCCCTCACGTGCCCTCTTTCCATCAACTTCGTGACCTGCCTTTGTATCTCCTTAGTCTCCTCGGGATTGCTTCGGTAGGCTGGTCGGTTTGGAATAGAAGCTCATGGGACAAAGTCAATTTGATGTTCAATGCCTCGAATTGGTGGCAACCCCGGTGGCAGCTCCTCTGGGAATACATCATCAAAGTCCTGCAAAAGAGAAACAACAGAACTAGGCAAAGAAGAGTTAACGTTGTTAGTGTTCAAAAAGGCTTCCTTGTACATAAGTACAATCATCGGCTGATTCGAACGCATAGCTCTCTTCACATCACTCGCCCTCGCATATAAACTTGTTTTCCCTCTTCTTTTATCTCATTGGCCTAACTCACTTTTTTTTTTCTCTCTTGTTTTTCTCAGCCTCACTCTCTCTTTATTTTGTACTCTCACTCATTTTCTTTTGATCACTCTCTTTTTTTAACCTCACTTGATCCTCATGGACCTGTTGCGGCGTTAAAGGAACTAGAGTGATTGTTCTTTTTTTAACCTCACTTGATCCTCATGGACCTGTTGCGGCGTTAAAGGAACTAGAGTGATTGTTCTTTGGTTGAACGCAAATGAGTACTTGTTGGTGAAACCATCATGCTTGGCCCGTCGATCAGATTGCCACAGTCGACCAAGTAAAAAGTGTCCAGCTTGCATCGGAACAACATCACACAGTACCTCATCTTCATACTTTTCAAGCGAAATGATACTAACACTTGTTTGTTCACCCTCAATTCTCCACTATCATTAAGCCATTGCAACTTATATGGTTGTGGATGTTTGGTTGTAGGCAACCCTAACTTCTCCACCATCATAGTGCTAGCAACATTGGTGCAACTCCCTCCATCAATGATCATACTACACACCTTGTCTCGAACATGACATCTAGAGTAGAAGATGTTTTCTCGTTGTGCTTCTTCATCTCCCTTTGCTTGCACGTTTAGAGCTTTCCTTGCAACCAAAATTTCACCATGTGCTGCATATTCTTCTTCTCCATCATCCTCTTGTGGTAGTGTGAAATCCTCCTCTTCTTCGGTCTCAAACCCACCATCATCACGCAGCAGCATAACTCTCTTGTTTGGATATTGGTTTGCTTTGTGACCCCTGCCATGGCATTTAAAACACTCTATACCACGATTCCGAGTTGTATTATAATCGATTTTACCTTGGACTGCATGGTTGGTAGTGTTTTGCTTTGGCTCGAATTTGGGTTTAATCATAGCTGGCTTCTCATCTTTGCTAACAACATTATGCCTCCAAGATGAAATCGAACTAGGGGCTGATCGTGGATTGTTACCCCGCCGCTTGAGTTGATTCTCAATCTTGATGGTCATGTTTACCATGTCCTCCATCTCAACATAGTGTTGCAACTCCACTACGTTAGCAATCTCTCTATTCAGCCCTGCCAAGAACCTTGCCATAGTAGCCTCCCGATCCTCCTCAATATTTACTCGGATCATTGAAATTTCCATCTCCTTAAAGTACTCTTCAACACTCCGATTTCCTTGCTTCAAATTCTGTAGCTTTTGATACAACTCTCGGAAGTAGTAGCTTGGCACGAACCGCTTTCTCATTAGGGTTTTCATCTCGTCCCAAGTTGCCACTGGATTCTCCCTATGTCTCCTCCTACTCAGCACCAATTGATCCCACCAAATGATGGCATAATCGGAGAAGTCAATCGCTGCCAACTTCACCTTCTTGTGTTCCGAGTAATTGTGACAATCAAACAACAGCTCCATTTTTCGCTCCCACTCAATGTAAGCTTCAAGATCGTTTCTGCCGTGAAACGATGGTATATTTACCTTTATGTTTCCCAAATTGTTATCCTCACGATTTCGAGCATCGCGAACCCTGGCTCCAAACCTTCGATTTATAGCAACGGAATGTTGGTCATCGAAGTCATCCCTGTAATACTCATCTTCTTATGCCCTAGCCTCTCTAGGTGGAGCTTGTCCTCTCCTTTGCACGTTAGGAATGGTTTGAGGAAACTCTTGCCGTGATTTTTCCATTTGATCCATCCGCTCATGAATCTGCTCCATCTCTTCCCTCGCGAATCTCTTCATCTCACTCATCAACGCCTCCATCATAAACTTTGGATCAACCTCCCTATGTGTGTCTTCCAAATTTGTTTGATTGCTAGAAATGATTCCTGCAAAACAATGTTAGAAAGAAAATATGGACCTCACACACTCCATTACGTGTTTCACTCAATAGATGGATATCGCTCAAGTTCACTCGTGTTTGCACACAATCAATTTTGGCTTTTACCCTCTTATGAACTCACCACTCTTGCCTTTTTCCTCTCAAATTCTCAATAGCCCCAATCAAACTCACCAAACAAATATCAGAGTTTTCAGCAACAGTTCACCACGAATTATCAGGAATTGATATAGAAGATGAAAGATGAACTTGAATCGAAATAGAATATGAGCAGAATTTAATGACCTTTGGATGGTCACGAGTAATTTATTTTGTTTGAATTTCGAAATTAATAATATAGGAAACAAAAGAGTGTAGGAATGAAAGAGATATGGAGTAGAAGACAAGATATTCAAGGATCCCGAGGATAGGAAACAAAATATACCCTTCCTAACTTAAGATGCAGTGTTCGGATCCTTTCCAACTACTTATAATACCAACAAGAAATTTATTCCTTTCAAATAATTTCGATGTTTGCTTCTTTTTTTTTTTTTTTCTTTTTTTTTCGGATTTTTTTTTCAGAATTTGTTTTTTTTTTTTTTTTGACAATAGACTCAAGATGAACAAGATACTGGACAAATTAAATGACTCAAGAACAGATTTGATGACGGAAACAAAACAAAAGAAGAAAAGATGACACTAGAAGGAATAAAGATATGGAATACGGAAAGAAACGAAACAAAAACAACAAAAGACTCAAAGGATAGACGAAACCTTCTTGGAAGATGGCTCTGATACCAAATGATATGAACCACACCAACTATGTGGCGAGACCCGATAACAATACTTCGGTTATCAACTCCTGGACCGTCCAAAAGAAGGAATCAAAAGGGGGTGGAACCGCGACCCGTTGTCTATAAAGAGACAAGAACCTTGGTATGTGAAGACGCCACAATCAATTGTGGAAGATTGATTGATAAGTCGGGTGAACGTACGGAATCCTCCGATATGTTCGAAGAGTTCTTAAAAGAACTAGAGAGAATAATCTCACAATTTAATTAATGATCAAAAGCTATCTTCATAATGAATAAGAAGGCGTATATATAGCCCCCAAAACTTAGTCTTCAAGAAAGGAAAATAAAACCCTAAATCTACTTAATAAAGGCTCTAAACAAGTGAGCCACGAAATTAAAGAGGGCCTTAATAGAATAGGCCCATTAACACACTAATATGAGCTGATTAGAGATGAACCCACGAATTTAAGGTATGGTGGGCTTTGGTCTTCATCCTGCTTGCTCTTATTTGCTCAACTTGGACTGATCTTTAGCCCGGATGATTCCCACACTTGTCCGGTGACTCCGCCACTTGAATATGCATAATCCAGCCTTATTTATCACCATTGAATGAAGCTTTCTTAGTTAAGACATTTTGGATCAATGCGGCAAGCTTCTCCTTGAATTGCTTAGCTCGGCTCCTCGTTACTGGTCCGGTTGGGACTTGGATAGGATCATCTTGCCAACTGTTTGGTTAGACCTCCATCACATGGGCTCACCTAGAGAAGGGTTGTACTCAAGGAAAATATTGAGCTTGTGTTGTACCATGGTCAAAATTGAAGGATGAATAAGAGGAGTTTTCCAGTTTTATTCAAGTAATATTCAAAAAAAAAATGATTTTCAATTAAGCAAATATATGATTTAAAATTCTCATAATAAATAAGTTCTAGCAAAATGAAGGAGTATGATTAATCTCTAGATTAATATTTAACAAATATGATCAATTTAAATTCGTCCAAAAGTATTTTGGACTAATGCATTCTATATGAAATTTCACCAGTTATCACATAAATAAAATCTTAAACTAATAAATTCACATAAGACATAAAATCATGTTAGTAAAATAAATGCTAATTAATGAAAAAATAAATTATCGGAGACGTGCAACTAATTCCCTATATTCATGCAATTCTACTAACCGTCTACCATTTATTCGTTTTCTTTTTCTTTTTATTTTTTTCCCTTGTAGTTTTGTATTTTTTTAACTTTCTTTCGGATTTTCCTTCTCCACTCTAACTCCTGATGGAAGAACAACACACTCGAGGTTTGCTATTCCTTTTAATGTTCATGAAGAATCTACGTGCAACATTGCATGTGAGTCCCTTTGGGCGGAGTTGATAACATAAGCAAAACTCATCATTTGGGATATCGCTCCGATGATTCACAAGCATTGTTTTGAGGTCGTGCATCAATCTTTGGAGGATATCCTAAGCCAGTCTGATCCTGGAAATGAGATTAAACCCTTGGGTGGCAAAACAATTGTTTTTGGAGGTGATTTCAGACAAATATATATTCATGTTGTAACAAAGAGATGAAGACAACAATTTGTGTCGGCGAGCATAAATTCCTCACATTTGTGGCGGCATTGTGAACTATTGACATTAACAAAAAATATGAAATTTTTTCAACAAGTACTAATTGCGAAGAATTGAAGAACTTCTTAGATTGGGTGTTATGCATTTTTTTTTTTTGAAAACCAGACATCTTATTAGGCCACATTGGCCAGGATTTGAGGAAGGTACGAACCCTCATTACAAATATTGCTAAACGACTTAGCTATCGTATGAGCAAGATGGTTGCCCGATCGTTTAACAAATTGAAAATTAACCCTATCAAAAGAAGATGGAATAATTAAACACTCTTCTATAAAAGCCCCGAACGAAGACGAAGCAAAATCCTTCTTATTAAGCGCGTCAATAACCATGAGATTATTCCCTTTAATAATAATCCTTGACCAGCTCTTTCCCACGCCATGATCATCTTTTTTGGTGATGCATGCGCCTCACTCTCTACCGCTTTCACTCTCTGGTGAAATCTCTCCGACTTCCATCCGATACACTAGCAACGATGCCAGTATAATAACAGCTGCCCCTAAGCAGTAAAGAAGCATCAAAATTAATCTTAATAAATCCATTTGGTGGGGGTTTCCAGTGTGCTGGGTGTTGGGTCTCCATATTCAGTCGGGGTCGTAAATGAGCAAGTTGGTATGGGTGAAGATAATCCGCCCCCCATTGCACCTGTTGAGTTGAAGGGATGATCTGCTCCCCATTTCTTTCCTTGAACACCACACTGTATTCATACCACGACAATTCAAAGCCACATGCAAGATAGTCTCTAGTTCTTTGCCACAGCTTGTGCACACCGGGGAACCAATGATTTTTTGACAAAATAGCTCGGCACTAATGGTGACGACAACGATGGAGTTATGGACATTGAGATACTTGATAATTTGCTCATAAAATCATCAGGCAACCATTAAGTTTCTATTGTAGAAGAAACTAGCTTACCCAAATTTGTTCGCTAATATAATGGATTCTGAATACTCACAACAGCGAGCTATGTTGGCACCTACAAATGAATTTTTTTAGAAGATAACGGTTACATGTTGTGTTTGGAGACGGAAGATGAAAGAGTCTATCTTAGTTTTGATAGTCCATGTATGGTGAATGAGATTCATACTCCAGAGTTTTTGAATACTATTACATTTTTAGGTCTGCCTAACCATGAATTAAAGATGAAGAGAGGTGTTCTGTTATGTTGTTGAGGAATATAGACCAATCCAATGGGTTGGGTAATGGCGTTTTGGAAGCAAAAATAATATCAGGCTCTAATGTCGGACATAAGGTCTTCATTGCAAGACTGTCGTTAACACCGTCAGACAGTAGAATTCCGTTTCACTTTCAGAGGATGCAATTTCCCATTGTTCTTTCCTTCGCTATGACAATAAATAAAAGTCAAGGTCAATCTCTCCAAACTGTTGATTTATATCTTTAAAAGCCGGTTTTCTCTCACGGACAACTGTACGTAGCTATTTCGAGGGTTACCAGTCGAAAAAGTTTGAAGATACTTATAGTTGACAAAAAAGGAAATACTTCAAAAAATACAAAAACTTTGTTTATAAAGAAGTATTTCAAAATTAAGGTAATTTTTTATTTATAGTTTTTCACATAACTTATGTAAGCCTTATATTCAACTATGCATAATGTGTTCTTATCGTTTTGTGGAGTGTGAAGATACAATATCATTAAAATGAATGTATTGCCTCTCAGTTCGAATTGTCACACAATGTCAAAGGTCATTGTTTTCCGTAAATTTATTTCGTATTTTTCCTTTCAATAATTTTTTTTTTGTGTTATTCATATATGATGCTATTGGGAATTGTTAACCCGCAGTAATGTCTAGGGTACCGTTGAAGTGAAGATATTTTCTACGCGATTAAAGTGAAATTTTTAAGTATTTTTTTATCAGAGATTTTTAAGTGTAAGAAGCAGCAATGTGCATTCTATTTGTGACAATTTGTAGTTTATTACTCCGATTTAACAATTGTGTTGTTGGTGTATGATTTCATTGAAATATGTAACCTCGTGCAACGCACGGGTTCGGTTACTAGTTATTCAAGCAACAAACAAAGTTAACCCAACATGCAAGCGAAAATTGCTAACAACAAACTGTGGGAATGTTTTACATACGGAAGACACAATGTGAGGCTAGGGTTTTGAATTTATGAAATTTGTTTTTTTAGAGGAGAGGGAGATGTTTGTTGTCCGCTGTTAACTCTTTCACCAAGAAATCATCTCATAATGTAAAAAGTTCCTTTTTTTCCTTCTCTATAACATTTCTTCAAAAAAATAGAAAGAAAAAAGGAAAGAAAAAAAAAACGAAAAGAAAGAGAGAGACACGAGATATAGGGGGAGAACGAGAGATGAGAGATTAGATATAGAGAGAATGGCGAGTGATACATGAGATTTGTTTTCTTATTAATTGATGGTGTTTATGTTTATATACTAATTAAGTTATTTCATTTATATTATTGTTTTGGATCAAACGACATATATCTATATTCAACTACCAACCATCTATGTAAGTCCAGAATAAAGAGTGTGTAGCCAATTTCTATTTATCGTTATATACCAAACTTTTGTTTTGTCCCAGTGGTTAGTACTATCGTTCTCATCCAAGAGATGCGAGTTCGACACTTGCTTGAAGCATTTTTGGACCAAAACTCATCAATTAAAATTCGGGTTCCCGTGTCAGGTCATCGGGCTGGATCCAATGGGTAGTAGACTTGTCGGGCATTGGGTCTGGAAAAGGGGGGCCCGGAATCGACTCATAAATTGAATTGGCAGGTCCAGTTTTGGTTCGCGGTCATGAGGTTGGTTTAGTCGTTGGGTTGGGTCCGGTTGCCGGGTCTAGATAGAAGCACCGAGAAGAGAAATACCCCAATTTGATATTCTTAATGTAAATTTCTGTGCAAAATTTTCGGTTGTGACGAAATAGGTAGCTGTCTTCCACGCTATTTAACTGCGAAATACACTGAGTGGTCGATTTTCAATTTTCAACGGCAGAAGAAAAGGAGAAATAGTTAGTGTGTAAATTCAATTGTAATAAAAAATAAAAATAAAAATGATATCTCTACAGCTACGGCTACTCCATCCATTACCTTCCCTTCAAAACCCTAATGATATCTCTTTCAATTCTTGTTCTAAACCCATAATCCACTTCAACCAAATCCATTCCAAATCTCTTTTCAAATCTTACAACCGTAATAAGAGGCTGACCCTTCATTGTAGTAATGGGTCCAATAAGGAGACCACGGCTAAAGAAACTAGGAGCGGCGGCGGCGGCGGCGGTGGCGGTGGTGGAGATGACGGGGAAACAGAAAAGAGTAGTGGGCCGTTGCCGGAATGGCTGAATTTCAATGGAGATGATGCCAAAACAGTTATTGCAGCGTTGGTGATATCGCTTGCATTTAGGTCTTTTGTGGCTGAGCCTAGATTTATTCCTTCTTTGTCCATGTATCCTACATTTGATGTCGGAGATAGACTTGTAGCTGAAAAGGTATATTTAATGATTAATACAACTTATTTACTGAATTGAATTGAATTGATGTTTTATATATCTCCAATTTAATTATCAGGTTTCGTATTATTTCCGAAATCCATGTCCGAACGATGTTGTAATATTTAAAAGCCCACCGGTGCTTCAACAAGTAGGCTACACAGATGAAGATGTTTTTATCAAGCGTATCATTGCAAAAGAAGGAGACACTGTTGAGGTGAGATATTATAGTTATGTTTGCTCTGATTATATATATTAGTCGGGAAATATTTCATCTTTAGTAATGGGCTACATCAATTCATTAGAGAACCAACATTCACACACTCGCTATATGTTTATACGTGTTCTGCTTCTCTCGGATATACATTACCCGTAAGATTTTGATCTGCTCACTTTATTCAAGTCTTGCTCAGTCTATATAACATGAAAGAAAAAAAGAGATAAAACTGCCTATCTTATGATTGATTATCCTAAGCGTTTTTTATTTCGGTACAGAGTTCTGATTCCTTTTTTATATCATTAATGAATGAATTGGTTATAAATATATAAATCTGTAATGCAGGTTCATGATGGGAAATTAATTGTGAATGGGGTTGTCAGAAGTGAAGACTATATTCTTGAAGCCCCTAAGTATGAAATGACCCAAATTGTAAGTTTTCACTTCAAATTTATTCCTTTTATCCTCATCAAAATATTACTTGTAATGTTTCCTTTGATAGTAAATCTCTACATTTTTTTGTTTGTTTGTTTATGTTTGGTCCTAAATTCATGTCAATGTCACCCACCTCCTTGCATTAATAATCTTAATGCCCCTTCCTCAATACAGAGATTAAACCACCCTCAAACATAGACTTTCATTAGTGAAAGAACAGAAATGCGCTTTACGTATTATCAAATATATTTAGTTTCTCTTAAATCTTGAAAGACAAACTTGTTTTGCTCGGTATTGAAGTGAATGATATAAAGAGTTAACATCATTTTCTACACTGCCACAAACCCCTCATTTTAATGATTAAGTCACATAAGATAGTTGTTTGGCTCTACCATTGAAAGAAGATGATACGAAAATTCTTATTATTCACATTTTGTATAAATCTATGTTTTTCAAAGTGTTTATATTGTGGTGCGAGTTTCTCTTTCTTTCTTCTTATTTTTCATCTTATACAAGAACTACTCATTGGTTGATCTCTTATTCTGAATTCAATATGTTATCATAAATTAATAAATAGTTTTTTTTTTTCTTACTCCTCTTCATAATTAGTTTTGTAGGTACTGTTCATTAAATCTTGTTTCCTAAGTGGTTGAAGTAGACATAATTAGTTTACACTTTAGGTTAAGTGCAGGCAGATCTTTAGTAGAATCAATGGCATGACAAGCACAATTTAATCATTATCTTGTATCTTTTTTTCATGATAAATTTATTTATGCTGTTAAATGGGAAAGCAGCCTTCACGTAATGATTAATTTATTTAATCGGAAGGATATTTAGTTTACTAAAACCTCCAAGCCCTCGATTTGGTAACAGAAAAATAAAAGTGGGCGTTTGAGGGATTTGATTATTAGTAGAAATAAGTAAAGTAAATTTTGGTTGAAGTTAGTTATATGATGAGAAGCTGTATTATTTATTTGACCTTGTTTCTCTGTTTGTCGTTGTTTTTGTTGCAGCGTGTACCGGAGAAGTCTGTTTTTGTTATGGGCGATAATCGAAATAATAGCTATGACTCACATGTGTGGTAAGAGAATGTTGAGATTGTGAATATTTATTTAGTAAGTTTACTGAATATGTGAATCTTTTTTTAATAGGGGTCCCCTTCCTTCAAAGAATATAATCGGAAGATCCGTGTTTCGATATTGGCCTCCTAATAGGATTGGGGGTACAGTTTTGGCGGAGAGCTGTGCTATTGACAAGGAGACTGCTACTAGTACTGATCAAGCTGTTGCTAAATAAATTGGAATCCAGAAATTGAACAAGAAGACATAAGCAAAATTTGAATATTTAAATTGGAAGAAAATTCATGAATTCATTCTGCCTTGACCTTAGTGCAACTCATTTTTGTATATTTATTTATGGTGTAATTAATGGACAGAAGACACAAGAGAAATTCAATTTTTTTCTTAAAACTATTAGCAGTAAATTTTGCTTTGAAACATTCCTGCCTGCCAATTGGGGCACCTGTGTTTACTTCAAATAAAATTAATAAATAAATAAAAATGGAAAAATTAGTCAGAAAATTCGGATTGTTCTTGGTAGGGAGAGTTCAAATTCAATTTTCGTTCTAGAAAATAGAAAAGTTGTATTTTAATTTATCTGGATTGAGCCAAAATTTGTAGTACTTCCAAGTTAGGCAGGTCTTAAACGGATTTGATCAGCCTATGCGAAAATAACTTTTACCTTTCGCATGCGTTGTTGGTGAATCCCTTGGGTTCTGATTGGTTCATTAATTTCAATATAAGGAAAATGAAAATTCAAACGAAAATGCAAAGGAAAACGAAATCAAGGACTTTTGGAATTCCAATTGTGTTTGGTTTCTAAAAAATGTGGTGATGAAAATAATTTTGAGGAAAATTATTTTCGTTAGTGTTGTTTGGTTCTTGAGGGAAAATAATAGAGAAAAATACCAATTAAAATGAAATAAAAATGATTTGTTATTAAAAACTAAGGCTTTGTTTGGACCATTTTTATTTCAAATTAAATTCTAATCCAAAAAGAGATAATTTTTTTAATTTTAAAATAAATTCTAACCCAAAAAAGTGTCATGTAACAAATTAAGCAAAATGTAAAATAAGATGGACATTTTATATGTGTAAGTATATAATTTTCTTTCCTTATTAATGCATTTTAATTATAAAAAAAAGAGAGAGAAGACATAAGAGAGAGAAAAGAAGGGTGACCGAGGAGAGAGATATAAGAGAGAAGAAGAATAGGTATAGAGAGGGGTAGAATGACATATTTTCCTTTATCTTTTTTAGGGAACCTCATTTCCCTTGTTTTAGTGCAATATTTTTTCCATATTTTCCATAAAATTGTTTTACATAGTAATTTACTTATCAACCAATCAAGAAAATTATTTTACATCACATTTTCACTATTTTACCTACTATTTTCCTTGAACCAATCATACCCTTGATAAATCCGTTGTTTTTCATGATTTCGGTAAAAAAAATATGAATAAAAGATTTTTTTGCCCGATGTCATCTTGATTTTAAAAAAAGACTACTATTCACACTTGCGATGCACGGGAGTGCATTTTTCCAAATGATACCTATTTGTAAAACAAATTAAATCAAACACATTGTTACGCTCACTGAACATAAATGAAAAAATGCAATTAATGGTTTTCAATAATTGCAATTACTGGAACGAAATATATACAAAATATTATCGACCGACAATATTACAAAACAACAACTCCATTGTTGAACCAACGAACTCTCGAAATGATGTTTTCTAAGGAGAACCATAAACCTATGTAAACACCAACCACAAATAGAAGATAGTAGTCTGCACATTTTCATTGAGTTTGTCCAGTTACTTACAAAAAATATATAAACAAAAATCGATAATTTTTTGAAAAGATAGTAAAATTTGCATTACGTACCTTCACTATATGATTGAAACCAAAATCCATCAAGCGAAATAGTGAAGATAATCCTCCCACTGTGATTTAGTCCGTAGGGCTTCTTCTCATGCTCTTCAAATTCTGGTCCGGATTCCGGTGAAGAGACCTGCAACGCCGGGAGAGGTTCCCGGCGGGAAAGCTCCGACGATCAAGTTAGTGTATATTTAGAGTAGATTTATGAGAAATGTACGTAAAAACCTGTGTGGAAAAATGCAATATCTTCTCCTATTTATAGATGAGGAAGCCTTGGCCTCCAAGGCTTTCCTCTTTTAGGGTTTTTCCTTACCCTCAAGTCATGCATCTTGGGCCTATATGGCCCTGGGCCTGCCTTACCTCGTTTTGGTATTGGGCTGGCGAGTTAGGGTATTTTCACATGGTTCCCAAGGTCGTGCGGGCTAACGACTTCGCTCATAACTTTGAGTTAAGTCGTCATGGGCCCCTCATTATGGGCTTATCATGGTGGGCTTACTTTTATTCGGCGCTTGTCAAATTGGCCCGTATCAACTACTCCCCCCTACTCCTTAATTATCGGGCGAGGAGGCTTTGCTCTATCTCGTTTGGTAAATATGGAGTATAAAGTGCGAAGTAATGGTTCGCTTTTAGTCTTTACTTTTGATGGGGATGCGTGCTTCCCGCCTCCTGTTTGTCCTGTCAATCAGTGCGGTCGATTCGAGTTCCCTAGGTCATTATGAGGGGATTTCAATCGGTGCTTTTGCGTTGAGTTCGAGGCGGCCTGCTTTTGATCTCGTTCGTCCGAATGGGCGGTTGAGATTTCATTCCTCTCCGTTTTTCCTCCTATAAATACCCAACTGACTTGATTTGTAAAAGTTTTTTCCCCTTTCACCTTCGTGTTCTCTCTTCTACTTGATTTCTCTTCCGGTGATTTTGCTCTTTGAATCAGAGTTTTTTCCTCTCGCGCTCACTCTTTTCCCCGACCAAGGTACTACTTCTTTCCCCAATCTTTTATTACCCCCGCCTTGTTCTTAAAGTCGATTATGTCTTCCTATTCTCCCGACCCCTTTGGCCAAAAAGTGCCTTCCGGGGAGGGGGGTGGACACTCCACCCTTTCCATTTCCTCCTCATCGGAGGAGGGGCCTTACTTCTCCCCTTCGGGCAAACTCTTGGAACGACCCAAGAAGAAGGGCAGAAAAGAGGTTCCGCCTTCTACGAGGAGTGGTTCCCCTTCTTTATCTGAAGGACGGGATTTAGATGACCAATGGGGGCCTAGTACGTTAAGCGAGATGGATCTGACTAACTTAGCCCGCGACATAGGCCTCCCCACCGATGTCGAGTTAGTGTTGCCTTCGCAGAATGATCGCCCGTTGAACCCTCCCTTAGGCTTTAGTACTTGGTTTTCGGAGCAATTTTATTTCGGCCTTTCCTTCCCCATTTCGCCCTGGTTTTCCGAAATTGCCCAGCTATGCAATGTGTCTCTTAACCAGTTTCACCCTCATGCCATAATAATCATGACAGGTTTTCGCATGCTCTGTGCTTGGTCGGGGGTAATTCCTACACCAGCTCGTTTTCGGAGCGTTATGGTGTTAAAAAACTCCAGTCCCTTCCACATTTCCATCTCGGCTCGCCCGGGCTTCAAGATATTAATGCCACCCAACAAGACCGATGGGTGGCAGGGTCATTATTTTTTTGCAAAAAATCCCGTGGACACTCCCTATTTATGCCCCTGGCTCGCCACCTTGCCTGAGAAGAAAAGGGGAAAACCTTTGGCGGTTGATGATTGTTTGTTAAAAATGATATCTCACTTTCAACCGAGCTACGGCATCCCGGACAGCCTTACCAGCTTTCCGCCGATGCTTCGTCACTTCTATTTTCATGACAACAGCACATATTCCTTAACTCGGGAAGATTTAGGTGGGTTTAGTCGTGACGCTTATTCTCACCTCGACTTATTGTTTTACTTCGTATGATTGTTTTTGTCACCTCGTTAGTTCTGTATTTATCTGTTCTGTTCCTCATTTACTTATCACATTTTTTCTATTCTGGTGGGTAGATTTAAGGATGAAGAGGATGTTCCGTGGTGACAAACCGGCTACTCGTCCCTCCGAGCCGGAGCCGGGATTTGAGGCGTTCAAGTTCCAGCGTCCTTTGGTTGCTGAATCCGAGAAGCGATCCTCGGAAGAGGGGGCTTTAAGACCCAGGCCATCTAAGAAGAATGCCGCGCCTCCGCGCTCCCGAAGTGGGCCACGCGTCGAGGACTCGGAGCCGCCTCCGCGGTCTTCTGCGATAGTTCCAATTTCTTCGCCGCCACCTTCCTCAACCGAAGAGGTGGTGGAGAGAGAACCCATTTCTAAGAAACGAAAAGCTGATCTGGTCCTTGGGTCAACCGGGTCATCTCTCCCCCCTAATTTTGCACTTCATCTCTGCCAGAATGCAGAGAATGCCATTGCCGCTTGTCGGGCTTTGGCCTTTCCTCGGGATGTTGCCCCCTTCGGGCAGATGAGCAAAGGCGACAGACTTGAGTTACTGCTTCATAATATCACGCAGGTTTGTTTTACTTCGTGCGCACGAGCTGGTCTGTTTCTTAATATATTTCTTGAGTTTAGGACTGACTTTATTTGGGCTTCTCGTATCATGCAGCAATTCGCCATAGCTTTTTCTGGTCCGCTAGGATGGGATGATGTCTCGCGCGAGGCGTACGATAATCAGAAGAAGGAGGTCACTCAACTTCGGAAGGAGGTTCGAGCTTTGAAGGAGACTCTGACGATGGCAGAGTCGTCGAAGGAGGGATTGTTCGCCGAGGTGAGGAGGTTACAAGAGAGAGAGAAAATCTTGCAGGCGGAGAAAGACTCCCTAGTATCTCACAACGCCAACCTGGAGGAGAAGGCTAAGGGACTTTGCAACGAGCTGTTCGCCGCCGGAGTACAAACTTCCACTAATTTCACCGAAGGGGTGAAAGAGGGACAAAGGCTGTTCCCGGGATCGCCTGAGGGTCTCCGTTTCATCGAAGAGTTCGTTCGTCGCTTCTTTCACCGGTTATGGCGTTCGACTACCTTCACCCGAGAAGCTTCAGGTTTGGCTCGTTTCTTCTTCTCATCGGCGGTCGCGGCTGTTCGGAAGAGGTTGGGTGGTGCCGGCATCAATTTCCCGCTAGTGGAAAATGAACTGGCCGAGGACCTCCCCGATGACGAGATCCTGGGTTTTGAGGGAGACGTCAATGAGGACCCCAACTTGGAGTGGTGGAGACCGGTTTACCAGGGCCTCGTTGAAGATTTTTCCCGTCAAGGGGCCTCGTCGGTGGTTATCACTGACTTCGTCGGGGACATTGAGGCCCTTGAGACGGTGATCAGTCCTAATGACGCACAGCCGGACTCCGTCGTGCCGCCCCCTCCGGATGCTGGGAATCGAAGCGAAGCAGAAGCGACCCAGCTAAGGTGGTGACGAAGGCACGACACTTCACTCCCTCCGTGAGCTGGTGGAGGGATGCGGTGTTGTTGAAACGACTCAGATGCTCGGCTGGATCTGACGCGCCGTTGTATTCGAACAGAATTGGTCGGTAA